AGATACAGGCTCCTCTGAACGATGCCCTAACAGGTAACATCAAAGGAAATGCACCTATCGATATGACTAACCTTGTAACAGTTTTCAATGAGTGCAAGCGCAGCCTATCTCAAGCCACTCTTCTTGTCCACCCAGAAATCAACCTGGATCTAGCCTTATTCACAGATGCTTCAGACGACTCCATCGGCGCTGTCTTGCAACAAAAACGAAAAGGCAACTGGGAACCCTTGGGATTTTTCTCTCGTAAACTGACGACATCGCAAAAAAAATATAGTCCATACGATAGGGAGCTACTGGCCATATACGAAGGTATCAAACACTTTAAATATATGTTGGAAGCAAGAAACTTTTGCATTTACACCGACCACAAGCCCATCACCTACGCCTTCACAACAAACAGAAGCCAGTGCTCTCCAAGACAATTCCGCTATCTTGACTACATATCTCAATTCACCACCGATCTAAAATACATTCCCGGGAAAGACAACATCGTCGCTGACGCCCTATCACGTGTAGAAGAGATTGTCACTATAAATTACGACGCACTTGCAAGAGATCAGGCTCAAGACCCTGAATTGCAAGCTTTGCTAACCAAAAACACAGCACTACAACTGAAACAGATTGCTGAAAACCAGCTGTACTGCGATTTTTCCACCAAATCGCCTAGACCGTACATAACACCTGCCTATCGCAAACGCGTTTTTGAAACCATACATCAACTCAGCCATCCAAGCGGCCCTACCACTGCTAAAATGGTAGCTACAAGATTTGTGTGGCCCGGAGTAAGACGCGATTGCAAAACTTGGGCAAAGGAATGCGTAGACTGCCAACGAAGTAAAGTCAACAGACATACGAACGCACCATTTACAACCTTTCCAGTACCATCAGAACGTTTCGCCCACGTACACCTGGACATTATAGGCCCATTACCATACTCTAATGGCTTTAGATACTGCCTGACAGCAATAGACCGCTTCACACGTTGGCCTGATGGCTATCCACTAGCGGATATTACAGCAGAAACTTGTGCTTCCGCGTTCATTACCAACTGGGTATCTCGTCATGGATGTCCACAAACTGTAACAACAGACAGAGGCTTACAATTTCAATCACAACTCTTCCAAAGCATCACCAACCTGATCGGCGCAGAACATCGTCCCACCACCTCATACCATCCGCAATGCAATGGAATGGTGGAGAGATTACATCGCCAACTAAAAGCAGCCATCATCTGTCACAACAACCCACAGTGGACTGAAACACTTCCCCTAGTGCTACTAGGAATAAGAGCTGCCTGGAAAGAAGATCTGCAGGCATCAGCCGCCGAGCTAGTATATGGAGAACCACTACGACTACCGGGACAATTTTTCTCAACTTCGCTTGACCAGAACCTAAATCCAGCAGACTATACAGCTCGCTTGAGAAATCATATGGCAGCATTAACCCCAACTCCTGCATCAAACCACAACAGTAAAACATTCTATTTGCCGAATGACATACATACTGCACAGTTTGTTTTTCTTCGCCGTGGTCCCGCAAAACGATCGCTTGAATCACCATATACCGGCCCTTATAAAGTTCTGAAAAGAAATACAAAAACATTTTCATTAGACATAAAAGGCAATGAAGTTACAGTAACAATAGACAGAATAAAACCAGCTTACCTTACGAAAGAAAACAGAGAATACGACACGACCAGTCGTCCACCGATGACCGCACTGCCGTTCCACACCAATCACGATGCACCGCCACCTGAAAAAAAGACTAGAAGTGGAAGATTAGTTAAGTTTCCGGACTACTATCGACCGTGAAACGGTCTCGGCAGGGGAGTGATGTGGCGTCCTCGTCGTCATTGGTAGCTGAAATAAAACATCAATAAAAATTACTAAGAATTAAATTATGTATTAAAAATGTACTTACCAACTTCTACGTATAGACCGTGTCTATTGTTCTCCGCGGCAGGCGGGGGCGAGGCACGCGCATTCCACAGCGCTCAGCGCGCTCCGCCACCAGTACGGCCCACGATTTCTTAAGCGACACACGTGCAACTCGCTGCCGACGCCACGGTTTATTTTTACGAAAATATATTCATCGTTGAGATCACATAAGTTTTATTATTTATATAGTGTTTATACGACAACGCGAACACTATACGTACATCATTAGATCATCAAAAAAGTGCGGTGACATTTAAAACCCAACCCTTTTGTAGACTAAATTGTTTAAAACTTGTAGATTCAGTTTATTGGTATTGTTGATATTTTCTTTATACGCTTCAGATTCATCTATGCAAACGGATACATCTGGAGTGTCATTGTGTAAAACTAAATCTATCATGAACTTGTTCCTTGAATTCCTCTTCATTAGGGGAAGATTGTTACCCTTCGTACGCGGGGCACATTCATACAGCCGAAATAAAACTTGAACGAAACAAAGTACAGTCTTGTTTTTGTATGTGTGCATGAGTCGAGGTACGAACTATACATAATCGAAGTTTCGCGAAATTCGCACCGATGAGAATGAAGTTACAGGCATGGACGTGTTTTCGCGCTCGGTAAGTAATTTTTTGATCAATGTTTTTGTCTCTTGTTACCGTAGATAAAATAAGTTTTCGTGTAGAGTATTCTATCAGTAACTAGCAAAATATACTTAGATACGTCTCCAATACTTAATTTATGACGTTTTCCTATTAATATTAAAATAAGTTATATTTTGTTGTTATTCAGTTAGTGGGGTACTTTCGGACAGCACTAGATGGGGCACATTTGTACGAATTGTACAACTAAATTTGTATGAAAATATTTTGTCGACACGAACTGTAATTTTCATACAAATTAAGTTTTCGACTTGCTACATACAAATAATAATAAGGCATCTTGACTAAACCCTCTGGTAGGTAGGAAAGATTGTGTTAGTGTGCTAATTGCTCTAATATTTCCATTAACTTTGTCCTGTGTTGCTATCATTGCTATCGTCGATGTATTTTTATTACCTATTTTTATTATCTTTATTAAGGTTGATTTTGATGCATGTGAACCAGATGCTTTGAATAATTTACCAATCCATAATTTACCAATAGTAGTTCCTTTGAAGTCAGTTTTGACACCTTAAGGGTTTCGACTCTATACGCATGTTGTAAGAAGTAATAAAACAAACAAAATGACGACGGCCAGGAAAACCACGAATTTATACTGCCACACCCGAAAATAAGAAGTGCTAATCCGCACCAAAGATTAAAGAATGTGATTCTAAATTTAAGATACCTAACTAATTAAATTTTGGTTTTCTTAAGAAAAGCTATGTAATTTTTGTTCACTATAATTAAAGTATTTTATTTTTGTTTATTAGAAGTTAAATCTTTATTTTTGTGTTTAATTTCATTGCTAATAAATGAATTTTGATTTATATGTGTCGTTTTAATCGCACGTACGGAACTACCCCACAGCGTACGAAGGTACCCTCAACACTGTACGAAGGTGCCCCGTTGATGGGGTAGATTCGTACGTTTTCCAGATTTAGTTTAAATCATAATTATGGTTGAACCATCAGATGAAATCATTTGTCATTTTCTTATATGAATCTCAGATAGTTAGACTATAAATTTAAGCTTGCAGATGATTGATTCATGGAAAAATAAAATAATAAAAAAATAAAATGTGAAAACCGTACGAAGGGTCCCGACCTTCCCCTATATCCTAATAAAGTAAAAAAATACAGCTGTAACAGATGTATGCGCCCTAAGACAAATTACAAACCCAAAATAAAGCAGAATTAAAGACACATTTTTAAATAATACCCAATTAAATACTTTTTTTATTTGGTAGTACAGTTATATAACATGTTAAAACACTTCTACTCATATAATAATTCAGTATCAGTCAATACTAAAGCACGAAAATTGTTATTTCACATAATATGACAGTTCTATTATCTAATTTTAAGATACTTAGTGAGAATAACTAAAAAATATGGTCGTTACACAGATTATGACAGTACTACACACACTAGAAACACGTCCGCTCTGTATTAACTTTGTTGTGACACTGTTTACAGGCCGCTAAGGATAGGAAAGTAGCTCAGTGAAAAAGGGTATTAAATGCCATCTCTCGGCGAAGAATAGCTCTATAATTATGACGTTTTTTTAGCTGACAAAGTTTGTGTTTGCCCTTATTAAGGGATACTTATCTCAATATCTTATTTTTATGTGTTGTGACACTCTTGTTGCCGATGTGCGACATGTTTACAATGCAAAACTCCAACAGGAACAATACCGCTTGTTCAGATTTCATTTGAACTATGACCAACTGCTGACACGGCTCGACACGTGTCTGTTCTATACTTTAATACCTGAAGACGCGACACACTGACAGCTCACAAGAGTAATTTTATTTTAATATGTATTATTTGAACTTTTCGATATTACCACCACCTTGAACCTTTGATCCTAACCGTAGGACTCCGTCTGCTACCTTAGGTCTCTTGGTGCAGACATCCCGTACTTATTTATATATTCACTATTTATGACGTGTTAGGTTAGGTTAGACTGTCCACATGTCCACCTTGTCCAACTGTCATTTTCATACAATTTTTTTTATGGCTCTGGCATGGTTTGTGCATTAGCCAGCGTCAAGTATAAAATTTTTATAAATCGTGCTTGCCTTAGAAAATCGACCGTGTCCTCCATGTACGGTTTAAGCACTCTCCCGCGAGGGTACCGCACAACCCTCCCAAAGGCCGAGAACAAATTTAAATTAAATTAAAACTTGCCCTCGAACCGGGAATCGAACCCGGTACCCCTCACCTAGCTGCCACTTAATAAGACCGCTAAGCTATGAGGCCCTTCATACAAATTTAGTTTTTGACTGTCTACATACACTACTGTTAAGGCATCTTGTCTAAGCCTCCGGGTAATATCTATGGCGAAGACATATCTTATCTATAGTGATAGGTGGACAACAACACCTTATCTATAGTGACACACATTTTTGACAAATGTCAAGATGCCATTAACATGCGTGCGTGTTTCGGTTTTAATTCCACGAAGTTTGTCAGTTGCAAGACGGTTCGTGGAGCCGGTAAACAGGACTATTTATTTGAAAAGTCCGCAAAAATTTTTTACGACAGCAGCAACAGCTCGACATATCAACCCCAAAATGTTCATTGCCGAGGAAAGAGGATCCGCATACTCGCCTGACTACAGGGTTTACTTTAGTAAGTATTTACGCCATGGTTATTATCAATTACTAGATTACCTTCTAGGCGATGATCGAAGGAATAACGTAAAGGTCAAATATCAACTAAAGATTGGGTACAGGATCTGTTGCAGCTGTTTCAGATCGGGTTATGTTCCTATGTCTTTTTTGCACAACTCCACTTAAATCTAATCTTAAGTGGCAAGTGTGGACAGATAGTATAAATTGATCACTTGAGTATTGTTGTCACACCACTTGCCATTCCTTAAGTACTTTTTACCTTTATATTTTTATTTAATAATTATTGGTGAATTATATACAATCAATATTAGTTTCATCAGCATATGATTTTTATTTACAATGTTATGCCGTTGAAGGTGTTAGTGTCCATAATGCTTATCAAAAGAAAATACAACTACTTTTGAGTTTTGAATTCAATGATTCCATTTCAAAGTAGGAAATGCGGGTTGTATTAAAATACTGGAAGACCGAATGTATTGAAACTTTACTTATTAAGTACTGTCTTACTTTTACCACTTGAAGTAAAATACATACTACATATTTGTGTGATGTAGTAAAGGATGTGAGAGTAGATCATAGACATAATAATATCATAGATGTTTGTGTTTTAACTGTTCTATAACTATTAATTAAACTGTACATCTTAGATTTGTCCCAGATGAGAACTAGACACATAATTTTACACCATAAAATCATTTAGAATGAGAAATATTTAATAAGTTTTATGATTTAAAATAAAGTTATCAAAAAAACAATAATTGCTCTGATTATATCTAATCATAATCTCTATAAAGTATAGATGAGTCATTATTGTGACCTTTTATTTATTTCACTTAATTTGTTATCAGGTTGCCACGCAAGAACTAGTGATTGCTGTCAGACTGCCTCTCAATTTAAATTAATATGTATGTAAAATCAAACCACGCTGGAGACATATTTAATTTTTAAACATGGTTTCCAGAGGATGAGAACGGGCCGATTTCACCCCTGCACGACATTCCCCTGTGGGCCGATGCCGAAAAGGGGCTAGCCAACATGGTGGTGGAGGTGCCCCGCTGGAGCAACGCCAAGATGGAGATCAGCCTCGGCGAGCCCCTCAACCCTATCAAGCAGGACGTGAAGAAAGGCGCTTTGCGGTTCGTCGGCAACGTGTTCCCGCACCACGGCTACATCTGGAACTACGGCGCGCTGCCGCAGACGTGGGAGAACCCGCAGCACGTGGACCCGGGCACGCAGGCGCGGGGCGACAACGACCCCATCGACGTCATCGAGATCGGCGAGCGGGTCGCGGCCCGGGGCGATGTGGTGCCGGTCAAGATCCTCGGCACGCTCGCGCTCATCGACGAGGGCGAGACGGACTGGAAGCTCATCGCGGTGGACGCGCGGGACCCGAACGCCGACCGCCTCGAGGACGTCGCCGACGTCGAGCGCGTGTTCCCGGGACTGCTGCGCGCGACCGTCGAGTGGTTCCGCTCGTACAAGGTGCCCGACGGAAAGCCCCCGAATCGGTTCGCGTTCGACGCGGAGCCGAAGGACGCGGCTTTCGCGCGGCGCGTGGTCGAGGAGACGCACGAGTTCTGGCGCGGGCTCGTGTCGGGCTCCGCCGCGGCGGACGACATCAGCAAGATGAACGTGTCGGCGCCGGACAGCCCGCACCGCGTGGAGCGCTCGGCCGCCGCCGCCGCCCTGGCCGCCGCGCCGCCCGCCGCGCTGCCGCAGCCGCTGCCTCCGCACGTCGACAAGTGGCACTTCGTCTCCAGCCTCTAGTCTGTCGCCTCTTCCGGATTTCTTTTCGCCTTTGTACATATGTTAAGATATTAAAGATGCCGAGCCGAGCTCTAGTAGTCATTATTTATTCGGTTTCGTTTAAATAATAAATAATTACAAAATCAAGTTATGTCTTTTATTTGCACCTCGCTGTTACAAAATGTACTAACGAGCGCTTCGCTTCCACGAGTGCATATAATTGCACAAAATAAAACCCTTCTTTGTCATTGTGAGACTTATTTTAAATTATGCTTGAATGAGAAAATTATGAAACTGTCTATGACTCAGTCATTTTTAATTAACTTCCCAAAATGAGAGATTTTAAAAGGCACACTAACGAAACACATTCAAACACTTAACAGAGAACACATGACATAGAAAACAAGATACATGCATCAATAACAAGTGTGCACAACATTTAGAGGGAAACATTACAATGATAAAGAGAAAATAACTTAAACATTAAAAGTAAAAACAAACTAGTTTAAAAAATACAAACGTGCAATTTATAAATATGAAAAAAAAAAACTAATAATTTTCTACTTTGTAATTATCACTATTGGTCATGGATCAACAGGATGATGTCACCAATACCGAATTGAGTAGGTTTCAATCCAGCTGATGATGAAACTTTTTATGCAAAACGGAATATCAACTTTGGAACTCGTTACTACAAACAAAGCAAGGTTAAACAGCTCCAGCAATTTAAATATTCTAACCCTTGCAGTAAGTGAGTGACGCTGGGTAATCACGCTATATCGTATAATATACGTAGCAGGTGCAAGTCAAGATTTTGGGCTAGTCTCATAGATCTAATTGCATCATCGATCGAAGCCCCCCTCTCGCCTCACTTCTAGTAGATCAGCCGACGCGGCGCCGCAACTTAAAGCGACCATTAGGTACATTTCGTCACCAAGTCATAAAACATGTTATAAATATAAATTGTTCCGTAGATTAAGGGTCAGCTTTATGCATATAATGCTTTTAAGGTGCATAATATTCTAGCAAATGTGTATTCAAAAGTAGAATTTAATTAGTTTCTTTCTTTCAATTTGAATACAGACACGCTTGTATGTGTACATATTTGCAATTCAAAAATGGCAGGCGTTAAAAAGTTCGAATGTCAATGTATTTAACAGAGCAACAATTTATATCTAGTTGTTCTCGTTTTACAGATTTTAGATTAGTTTGTCTATTTGTAATTTCTAAATAAAAGCGAGAGACTCAAAGTCGCCAGTTGGAAACCGGTATCACCCTGCCCTCCCCCACGCCTTCACTAAATCCTTGTAGATTAAGCCGTCAGATGTGCCACAGTTCATAGTTAAAAACATGAACTTATAAAACATAAAAATATAAGTGTTGCGATAGAATATATACGTACATAACGTGCCTATTTAATATTAAAATTAATGTAGCACTAGTAGGACATAGGTTAAAAGCGAACTAATTTAAAAAGGTTTCGTATATTAGTCATAGCAACAGTAGTATAAACAGATTCCTCGAGTATCAAACTCAATGGCACCATATATACCTAGTTCGTGAAAAAGCAAACCTCCGTGAAGACTTGCGAGTGGCAGCAAGAAGTGACAGAACGTGAGCGGTGGCCGCATGCGTGTGAGAATCCTCCCGCACTCCCGGACGCAGCGGGCGGCAGTGGCGCTGCGGCAAAGTGGTGACGCGAACGTCTGCGTTAAAGTCTGCGTCAGATCGCCTCTGCCTGCACCATGCGAGCCGCAGCTCTGATTCCGCTGGCAGCCTTACTGGCGCTGGCTTCTGCGCGCTCTGATCACGATTTTGAGTTCGACGATACCCCGGTACGGCAACTGCGAGATTCCGCTCTCTTCGACCTTCGCTATATTATCATGAAGTCTAACTACCTAATTTCGCTGGCTCGTACCTCACCTAATAATGAAAGCTCAGCTTATTCTTTTGTGTGTGTCCAAGTTGGGGCTATGACTGACCTCTATAGGCGTCTATAACTTATGTTCATAAAGTGACTATTTACGTAATGTTTGATTTATTTTGTGTACCTAATTAAAATTATTGAAAATTATTTATTGATATTACGAGAGTCTTAAATAAGATAAACATCCTAATACTGTGGTGTATTAGATACGTAAAAATAAAAATTTTAATTTTATGGTCGAAAATCAATATGCCCTTACATCACATCACATCGAAGAGTTAGTTAAATAGTAAAAATAATCATTATAAAATTAATAAGCGGTATTAACTAACATATGAATAAATGACATTCTAACAGCAACAAGCTTTTGTGATAAGTAGATCGAGGTCATCAACTCAAACTATTAAAATACAGCTATTTGTATTCTTGAAATTGTAACGTGCACATATATAGATATTATGTGCATACAAAATATGTTGGCCATTGACTGAGCATTCACTTTTGTGACAGGAGGCGGAGTCACGGCGGCCGCGTCGGTACATCTACGACCCGCACAGTGAGTAGCGTGGCGGTGAGTACTTTGTGAGTGTGTGGAGTGGTGAGCCTATGACAGATTGTGCGTTTTTGCAGGCGAAGTGTGCAGATCGCTGGTGTGCAAGAAGCGCGAGGTTTGTCTGCTGCGAGACTCGTATACTGCCTTCTGCGCCAATAAGAAGGATGTCCTGCGTCGCGGGTCAGTACCTATTCGCTTACATCGGCCACACATTAGTCCTCTTTCAATAGCTCAATTTTAATATTAACGTTACAGAGACGTCATAGTGTCGGCGGTGGGCACGGGCAGCGGGCCCGACGATGAGGACGTCTTCTACGAGTCGCGCGCCCTGCCCGACCAGCCCGAAGTGCTCGACTTTCCGGTACCTTCTGTCAAAAACGAAAGGTGAGCAAATCAGACCACCCACGACGATATATTGATACGTACTTAGTTAGGTATGCACAGAAGACGATGCCTACATCCGAGCTACACAGCTAAAAAAATGAGACATAAATTGTACACTTTCAAGGTGCGTTGGCTGCTCGGGCGTCTCTCGCGGAGGCTTCCTATGCGGCTCCGACAACCGCACGTACTCCTCGCTCTGTCGACTCGACCTACACAACTGCGTGCACCGTCCGCGCCCTTCCGTGCGCCTCGCTTGCGCCGGCTTCTGTCCCTGCCCTCACCGCAGGTGACCGCGCCTTACTGGCCGAATGTTGTGTTATGGTGCATCCATTACCTGATATCTTAATGTATTTCTACGTACAGCAGCGATGAGACCGCGCGTATCCCCGTTCCGCGCCCGCATCGCACGCGTACACGCTCCGACGAGGTACTTTTTTTCTTCTTCCAAATCTTACTGAAATGCAGACGCTGAAATATGTTTAGCTATTCTTGGTGGACTGAGTGAAAGAGAATTAACTATGGTCTTATTGATCTAAATATTCGTTGAATGAGAAGAGTTGTTAGTAATTACCTAAAGTGAACTGTAAGCAAGTAGTAGTAATTTTATACCTAGGAATTTATAGCACGCTTTACATAGCCAAAAAAAGCCTGCACTTGTTTAAGTACGAATGAGCAAAATACGTTATAAACAGGTGTAGTCTGTAAAACTGCCGCGTGTCAGCAGGAGCGGCGACGGAGACGACTCGAGGTGCGTACCAACGAGGTGATGTTGCCGCGACGTCGACCCTCTGCACCTCCGCAGACTTGCGCGCTCGACAAGATGGCCGACCGTCTTCTCGACTGGTTTTCCGTCCTGATGGAACAGGCGGGTGCGACGCCGCCGCCGCCGCGCGGTTTCGGCGCCGACTGCAAGCCTGAAGTGCGCTGGATGTTCCGTCATCTCGACTCTGCTGGCGACGGCCTATTACAACCTGACGATCTATATGCGCTGAGTCACGATGAGCGCGAGCGATGTCTACGTCCCTTTCTGGCGCGTTGCGGCCTCGGCGCGGGCGGAATCGGTCGAGCGGCGTGGTGCGGCTGCCTGCGAGGCGCGTCGAGGCCCTGCGCTGCGTGGGCGCGAGCCGCCCGCGGCCGCGGCAGAGGCGCCTACGTGCCGGCCTGCGACGCCAGAGGCTTCTACCGCCCGCGCCAATGCCACGCCGCGCTAGCCGTCTGCTGGTGCGTGGACGCGCACGGCCAGGAACTGCCCGGCTCGAGAACCAAAGGCGCGCCGTCGTGTCCAGGTACCGCTTCCTATTGTACGTGAGATTTCGTGTCCCTTTGTCGAATATTATTCACCTTAGATTATAAACAGGTGAAGTCGAGGAAGGTGATGAGGGCGCCGAAGGAGCACCGGCAGACGACGAGGACGAGGGCGGTAGCGGCGATCGAGAGCCCGATTTGCGTGACTGAGCGGACGATATAATTCTTAATCGGTCGTTAACAGCGAATTAAGGTGTTTAATTATTTTTTAGAGAATAAGTAATCTATTTTTAGGCGATACGGCAGTTTGTAAGAGTTGATCTTGCCCGACCGACAATTCATCAGTGTCTTCTTAAAACCCCACTATAGGTATTTACTTATAACCCAATCTAGCTAAATAAACAACACATTTGGGTTATAGGTAATTAAATTGTTATTAAAAAAACTCTTAAATGTAAAGTATGTGCCTACAGAATACAACAGAACTAAGTCTTTAAAATTAACCCATATATATATATTACACAATATATATATTACACAATATATATATTACACAATAAGGTACAAATTCCTAATTTTTACAAAAAAAGCCTAGTTCTTTCAATTTACATATAATAATTACTAAGATATTTTTGTTCATTAAAGAAAAATGTTAAAATTTAATTTTGATGTTTGTTACCTTACTACAAAGATACCTAACTCCTATATAATTAAATTATATCAAAAATATTGTTCTTTTAAAGGACCTCATGTCCTTTCGTTTTTACTTAAGGTATCTGCAAACAAATATTAAGTGGATTGCCACTTAATATTATCTTTTGTTATTAATTATATTTTTAATAAAAATTAATTTTGGCCTAAATTACTTTAAAAATTAATTTAGAAAATAGGTTTTTTTTTTCATTTAGATAAAACTTAATCAGTTTGTCTAAGATAACAATTATTAGGTTATATCAAGAGGTGTAGCTCTGAATTAAAATATTTATATTATGATAAATAATAATATAATTTTTTGATCAGTAATTGGTTTTATATTAAGGTAAATAAATAATTTATGATTTTAGAAATTGTTAGCTAAACAATATTACATCCAATTTTTGTATTAGTAGTTTAGTCAAAATTAATGCATAAAGTTAATAAGTGCATCCGGACATTCTACATAATTACTCTTAAGAAATTAAAATGTATTATGTATTATCCTACATTCCATACATTTGTTAGTAGAAAACTTTACAAAGCTTAATCTTATATTCTGATAGCAATCTTAAGTTTAGCCACAAGATTAAGGGTAGTATAATATTAAATGTAAAGAATTTGGTTTCATATAATTATTTAATATTAATTGAGCACTCTAGAAAATCAAACTAAAATAAATATAGGTAATAAAAGTAACCCCTTTGGGACAATGTAGTGATAGGCATAATAAAGAGCCCCATTTAGTGACACAAAGAAAAGGTTATTTGCACTTTTTTATTCTCACCATTGTAATGTTTTAAAAATAATTAAACGTAATAAGTCCTAAGACCTTTTTTTCTAATTTGTTAAGTTTGCCTTTTTATTTCATTCCCTATACAAATTTTCTCCTGAACATTTATTGTAGTTACATAAGTAACACAGCTGATGCCTGCATGCATATGTGCAGGATGCAGGTTGTCTATGAGTGTGAGTAAGGTTTATCACACTAATAAAACTAGCGAGATTATGATACTAAATCTTAATGATAAAATAGCTAAAGGGTTAAATAACACAACAGTAGTACATATTTAATAAGGTCTTTGTGGGTTATAATTTCGAGATGTTTTCAATTAAAATTATAAGACAAGAATGACTATTACATGCCTTACTAATTGTACTTCACAGTGATTATATTTTTAAAATCTTCCTGGTTTTATTTAAATCATGTTAATATAGCAGAACAAAAAGAGCCATCTTAATATTTTCTTCTACACCTTTTTAATATATAATAAAATATGATACCATAAGAATATACTGTGGCGCTTACACTTTGTTACAGAGATATTATTCAAATATGACATGAAAAGATAATGGTTAAAATTAATGAGTCCGAAGACTACAGTTGAACCTTATATTTACATAACGTCCTCTATAATATCAATTGAACTAGGGAACTAAAATGGTAATTGCACTGGACTGGACTCATCACTCCGCCGGGCCTTCTAGTTCCTCCTTGGTGAACTTAGTGTTGTAGAATGGAATATAAGCACAAATCACTTTCCAGTCAGTGGCATACACGATGCCTGCAGCTGCAGTGCCTCCGAACGCCATCATCGATGGTATATAGCTGACTAAAACAGCAACGTGTTTTCGACCGAACGAACCCAACATCTTTATTCAGTGCTTTATTTTCTCAAGAAAATATAGAAATCGGATAATCTGAAGAAGATATTACGTAAACGTTAGAAATAAAAATTCAAGAATCAAGAGCAGCCAATTGGCATTTGGCAAGTAGCAACCCGTAGGTGTCAAGTCCACAAATTGTCAAGTTTCAACTCTCGTACAACTAATACTCTGTGGTCACAAAAAGTCATACAAAGTCAAGATGCCTTAACTTACATTCTTACATACACTACTTTAAAGGCATCTTGACTAAGCCCCTTGCAATTTCAGTAATTTTGCAAAGACAATCAAAGTAGTTTACTTTACTTGATATCTCCACTGCCCCACCGAATAGTCGCCTTGCTCCACACATTTCTCACCGATCGCACGTTCTTCGGTGCGACGGAAGACACGGCGTCGAGACCGCGACCCATCACATCACGGACGGCACTCTGGACCTGCCAGAGTGTTTGAAGAAGTGGAGATTCGCTGCCAACCCGTCCTGACCTGACCAAGACTCATGCGATCACCTTTGGCAAATGTAGACCACCCTTACCCCTACTCTACCCCGACGCTTCCTGTATCGAGACGTGCCGTGGAAGACAAGAGTGGAGGCATCTCAGCATCTCCACCTCCAGTACATCGCGCCGTGGCTCCCAGATCGCCTCCAGAACCCGCGTGAGCTATTCTCCGCGGGTACTAACAACACCGCACTCGACACCAGGGCAGGAACCCGGGTCAACCGGTAGTCTCACCTGGCGGGGCTTGACCACGAGACGCGAGTCTACACTCTACCACCGATCGCAACACCAGGGCCAAGTCGCGCATACTCCTTGGCCCTGCACAATCGGATATGACACCTCCGGATTAACACATCAACAACATTAGTTAGTCAAAGTCAGAAAATCAAAAATTTATTGGATCTCCTCTTACTAGCCTAACCTAGCCTAAAGGTAGAGACACTAAAAAAGAGTGATATACGTGACAATATATATTTTTTAACTTTATGTGATTATTAAGGTAGGTACTCACTTCATCACTCGACAGCGTGTCCACTCTGAATGTTGACTGATCATCTTTCTTCCACATGGACCTATAACAATTCGGTCAAAACCTCACGTTCGCGGCGTTTGTTGCAGCCTGTCGCGAAGGATGCCCTCCCAAGGCAATTGACTTTAACCAAGTATCATTCGGGGCAACCGATTTCTACACTGTCCATTTTAATATAAACCTGACCAAGGACACAGATGGTCGGTGGCTGATCTCGACTGTAAAAGGCCTTTTAGAAAACAGAAACGAAACTTTCGCTAAGTGTGCCTCCCGTATGTCAATAATGTTTTTTTTTATGTTACAGGAGGCAGACGGGCAGGAAGCTCGGAAGAAGTGAAACTTTTTAAGGCGCATGAGGGTAAATTTTTTACAGAACGTCACGAAGATGTGCAGGGTTTTTGTAGAAGAAAAGGGAGAGAGCGATTGAGACCGATTCATAGAGAGTGAGAAGGGCGAATTACCTTATAGAAATTCTATTTTTAAAATTAAAATTTCGTAAAGAGAATTTATGAAATATTAGTGTCATATTATATTTCAGGAAAAATAATTTATTGAAATCTTAAATAAGGAATTGTAAATTAAAATGCAACGTGTTTTTATTATCGAAGAAATAAAATAAAAAATTTATGTATTAATTATTTTCGATACTTAATATTTTAATGATAATTAAATTCCTAACATAAAATAAAATAAAAAATTCAGAGTTAAAAATTAGTTTGCTAAAGAAGTTTCACTTCTGACACGTGTACTTTGTACGCACGCACTTTTTTATTAATTATTAATGTTAATAACATCTATAGACATTATTTTATTATAATAATCTAGAATTAGTTATATTTATTAGAATATAAAGCTACACTCGGTACATAACTAATGTAAAAACAACTTTTTTTACTATTTTTTTTCAAGGGACTTCAGGTTTTTCTTTAACAGTAACACTGTGTACAAATTAATGAAGTTGTGAATTGAAAATCTCAAAATCGTTTTGCTGTTTCCTTTCTACCACCCGATTCATTTACAAAAGTTCAGTGTTTGAATTATCGTAAATAGTTCTTGCTGAAAAGCGAGATACTGCAAGAAACCTGATTGTGCTGTATAATCATCAATTTTGAAGAGACTCCAGTGCAAAATTGACGCTTTTGTGTTGTGATCTCTCTCATGAAACATCCATGATCTCTACATGAAATTATTCCTTAAAATTCTGTACTCGCATACCATTTTAAATTCTCGCGCCATACGATAGTACCGATGGCATTAACTGGAGCGCTGGTGTAAGCATTTTTTTACTATGAAGTTGTGGTTCTTCTTTGCTAGAAGTAATAGTGTTCTGTGAGTATGTATTGTATATAATTTGGAACACATTATCTTCGATTGTCAAAAATTTTTGATCGACAGACTAGTGTTGGCCAGTGAACTTAGTGATGTTGAAAATAGGTGTGATTTATTGTCCCGCCCGCCGCCTTTAAAACAATTGTTACAAGACGAACTTACTTATAAGCACATCTACAATTACATAAAAAATACAATAAAAACAATTTAATGGAATATGCTCATAGGCGTAACATTACGTCTATGAAAATTAAGAGTTGACCTAAAGGTTGTAAATGCCAGGTCATAAAATCCCAAAAAAAAAAAAAAAAAAAAAGTATATAATTTGTATTTTGTATAGTTGTTATTTGTATAGTGTATAGTATAGTGGTCTAGTGTCATGTTATAATTAGAGTTTTCAACCAAATTTAAATAATTTTAAACAAACATATAAAGATGATGATTACCAAATTATATTTATTAATACATAGGCAATAAAATACTTATGTAAGCTGTTGAATTGAAATTAATACATTTTACGTGTTAAAATATTTAGTTTTTCTGTTTTATTTAAGGAAATCACACCATTATGTGGGATTCGTCTACATTTCTAGGAGCCTTAACGCCAAAATTTTATGTGGCTCTGACCGGCACATCATCTCTTATTTCCGGCCTCATTCTGATATTTGAATGGTGGTATTTTAGGAAATATGGCACTTCGTTCATAGAGCAGGTAAAATGGGTAAATTTTGTAACTATTACTGGAATGGATATAAATTTATATTTAAGTGAACATATTTACTGAGAAAAATCATTTGTAGTACCTATACAGATTGCCAGCGAGTGGACTGTAAATTGTCAGGATAGTGAATGTAGTGTATGTATTATCAAACTGCACTAGGTAAGTAAATATATGAAAGGGTGAGAACTGAGCCCTATAGTAGTACCCTAACACATAAGTAGTGAATATATAAATATGGGACGTCTGCACCACGAGACCACTAGAAAGTATTTAGCAGATATTAATTTATTTTACCACATTTGGCTTCTCTTTGTTTAGAAGTAATCTGATTCTAGCTCATCACAAACCATGATTTGTTTATTTTCTCAGTATTTTTGTTTTTAAAAAGGCACACTAACAAAATTTAGCACTTACAGAGAACACATGACATACAATAACACAATACATACATTTAAACAAAAATAAACAACAATAAACTACATTATGAAACACAAATATGCAATTTTAAAATTTTGGTTTGTTGGTGATTGAACAACACTTTAGTAACTATTTAATAATGAACTTTAGTTTTAATTGTATAATAATAAATTTGTCATTAATAGAAGAAATAAGAAAAAAAGCATTTATCCAGCTACATAATAAAACATTTCATTTCAAAATCTTAACTCAAATCCGCATATTTGGAATTGATCTATTTTTTCTTTAGTAAATATTAAGCATAATAATTGTTCACCAGATGTCGCTTTCGACCGTGTGGGCCGGCTGGGGCTCGTGGGGCGCGACGCGGTCTCCGGAGGGCGGCGAGTGCAAGGTGTGGCGTAACCCCACGGCCCTCCTTCGCGGCGCCGAGTACGCCCGCCTCTGGGCCGCCGCGCGCACCGCGCCCCTCACCTACTACGACATGAACCTGTCGGCGCAGGACCACCAGGCCTGGCTCGCCGCCGCGCCCGCCTGGGGCGGAGCCGACGAGGCGCTGGCGCGCGCCTGGCGCGAGCGAGAGCCCGCGGCGCGCGTGGCGGCCGCCCGCGCCGCCCTGCGTCTGCGGCCCGACTGCGCCGCCGCGCTGCTGCTGCTCGCCGAGGAGGACGCGCCGACCGTGCTGGAGGTGAGCGCCGCCGCTTTCGACGCCGTTCGCCTTTTCGCTCGCGCGCATTCAAACCCCGAGCCGTGCAGGCGGAGCGCGTGTTGCGGCGAGCGTGGCGCGCCGGCGAGGCCTCCCTGAGGGCCCTGGCGGTGGCCGGGGCCGGCGGAGCCGCGAGACGAGAGGCGGCGCTGCTCGCGCATGTGAAGCGGCGCGTCGCCATGTGCGCGCGACGCCTCGGCCGCCTGAAGGACGCCACGCGACTATTCCGCGAGCTGTGGCGCGAGGCGGGCGGAGCGCCTCACGCGCTGCAGGTGCGCGACAATCTGCTCGAGGTGTTGCTCGAGCAAGGCTCGTACGCCGACGCGCAGGCGGTGCTGGCGCGCTGCGAGGACGCCGCGGCGCCGCCGACGGCGACGGCGCTGTACACGGCGGCGTTGCTGCGCGCGCGCACCGGCCCCGAGCCGCCGGCGACGGAGGCGCTGCGACTCGCCGTCGAGTTCAACCCGTACGTGCCCGCGTACCTGCTCGAGATGCGCTCGCTGACGCTTCCGCCCGAGCACGTGGTGCGGCGCGGCGACAGCGAGGCGCTGGCGTACGCCTTCTGGCACCTGCGGCACTGGCGGCGCGCCGACCCCGCGCTGCGCCTGCTGGCGGCGACGGCGGGCCCCCGGGCTCCGCCGCCGTTGAGCGCGGCGGCCCGGGCGGCGGACCGAGAGCTGCTGCCGCCGCACCACGGCTCGGCCGTCGGAGCCCGCGGAGCCCCGGCGCTGGTGCCCCTGGGGGTGGCGCTCTGCGTGCTCACGACTCTGACGATAACGCTCGACCCGCGGGGAGTTCTCTCCGCGCTCTAGTCGAAATCGATCTCCGATACGCTTTAGATATTGTAAATACTTACGTAATTATTTATTTGTACTCTGATAGTCCTAAGAAATAAATATCTTTTAAGTTACATTTAGTTTTACATTTTTGTCTTAAGGCTGATTTTTTTTTTAATTGTCGGAAGGAACTCGATGCGTCGGTGAATCGTCCAATAAATATAATTCCAGTTTAAAGTAATAGAGCTAGATTAGTGCGGAAGTTTAAAGGGAATGAAAGCAGAAAGAAGATTATTTTCCAAATTCCTTCTGCCAAAACCAACCTAGGAGTTCAGGCACCTCTCGTTCGAATTCTTCGCGATTTTAACGGATTGAACACAGCTTATCCGGAGCTGGATATATTCGGTAGTGGGCTGATCGGTTTTAGAGAAAGCATTGTGGGGTGCCTTTCTTGAACCTAATTCGCTGTTTTTTATTTTTTTCTGCTTTAAGTACCAACAAATTTCTAGTAATTTTATTTTATTTTATTGTGTGCTTATCTTATCTTGTATGTGTTTAATTGTATTTTTTAATTTCTATTTTTTGTAAAACTTATGATTACTTTAATTGTCATACATTTTAGATGGACGATTTTGTAAAATAATCAGTAGATTAGTATGAAGTCGTAAACTTAAATAAATAAAAAGCAGCGGAATGTGATAGGGTTTCCGGTTTCCGTAGGGATACTTAAGTCTGGGCGCGGCTCTGCATTAAATTCCTTGCACTACATTTCCTTGCACTTTATTAGTTGCTGGAGACAGGCCACGGTGCAGTACGATTGGCGAAAAGCTGTCATTTTTCAAGGAAAGAGCTAGCAAGACGATTGTAAAAATTACCGCAGATAAGCATGCTTATCGATGTCGGAAAATTGTATGCGAAGTTATCAATTGAAAGTGTGATAAAAGAGACTGGTGAAAAAGAATGGGATGTGCAAGCAGAATTTAGAAAGGGGGTGCTTGCGTTTTTCCCTGACGATGCGTTGTCGAAAAGTTTGTGGCGAAAGGCCAACAGATTTTCTGTACTTTTGTAGATTTGGAAAAGGCTTCCGATCGTGTGGCGAGAAATGAATTATCAGCATTGTCTATGTACGGGGTAAGCGGCCAGTTGATTCAGGCGTTGGAATCCCTATATAGGAATTCTATGGCATGCGTCAGAATCACAAAGCCTGCACAGGTTGGTTTCTCACAGAGAAAGGTGTGAGACAGGGTTGTGTTGCCTCCCTGCCTATTTATGTACAATTTGTCTGAAAGATATGAGAGAGAGTGAAGAGCGATTATAAACGGGCCAGCCACTAGTGAATGGTCTCCTATATACTGACGACCAAGTGATGCTTGGGTCTTCGGTAGAGGAATTGTAGCAGCTGGTTACAGTTATGAAAACAGCTTTGAGTGTTAAGAGGATGAAAGTGAACATAGGAAAAACTAAATCTATGGTATTTGAAAGAGGTTTCAATAGGACTGTATGCGATGTTTTCATGATGGCGAACAAGTGGATAAGTTCGTGTACTTAGGCTGTATGTTTACTTCGGATGGAAAGTGTGACGCTGAAGAAAGACGATTGAATGCTGAAAATAGAGTAAATGGAGTGTTGCATTCGAGTGGAACAAATACCGTGGAAATGAGAATGTAAAGAAGTATGTGGTGTAACATTGCGTGATAGGAAAAGTAATAGCGAGATACGTGAACACAGTGGGTTAGAAGAGGATACGATAGGGAATGCTTTGGTGGTAGGATTTGTCATGTAGGATGGATGAATGAGAAGCGGTTAACGAGTAGGCATACAAGTCAAGCGTAGATGGTGTAATCGGATTGGGTAAGCGTTGTCGAACATATCAAATCACTAGAGAAAGAAAGTTTACTGACGAGCATGAATGATGAATGTCATGAAAGTGGATGAAGCGCGGGAGAGGTCACAACCGTACCAAGTGGAGAGCCGTGGTATCTGCCTTACTCGTACTTGTACTCCTTCGAAAAAGGGGTGATAATATAAATAAACATATGTTTCTCTGAACAAAGCCCGCTTTATTGGTGAAGATCCCGAAACCATAATTTAGTAGTTTCGGAGATCTGCAAGTACATACAGATAGAAAATAACATCCATTTTTTGTCTTCCTATTCTTTTTTTTTTTTTTCTTTATAATTCATTTCTCATTAGATGTAATGTGGATATTATCATCGTTCATATTTTTTAACAAACAATATTTCGGTGAAAATAGAGTTTAAAAGACCCACTTGTCCGATTCCTATGCTGTACTTCTATGTTAAAGAAGGAACTACGGTCTAAATTTTATTTCATACTCAACTACAGCAACGTTTTAAAAATATATGATGATAACTTAAAACAATTATCGAGTCATTATACGTCATGTTTCAGTGACTTAAAAATCAATTCAGAAAATATTGGATGTATCTCTTGAAAACTAATAATTATACAAAATCCTCATAGATTTATGTGATTTGCGCAGATCAAACCAAAAATATTGAAATAACAGGTGATAAGATAACAAACATACAGATAGTATTAAATAAAGCTAGTTACAGCTGTTTAGTGTTAGTGAGTTTGCTGCTTTTCAAATGCGCTTCGCCGACAGAGCTTTTCTGCTTCAGGGTTCATCCGCTCAGTGCGCGCCTGCCAGTCGCCGCGGACGCCAGTGTCCGCTGAGGGGCTTTCGACGCGTTTAAACTTTTCGCGGGAAATATTGTGTATTGTTTATGACCATGCCGACGACGATTAAAACACGCACTACCGTTGATGGTGAAGTTTTGTGAATACTTTCCTTAAATATGTGAGATAAACACTATGAGCTTCAAAGTTCAATATTTTACAGAACTGGCTCTAACAGATTATTTACTTTTAACAATAATCGTTATATAAAAGAAGCTGTCTATGGAGCAAAATTTTAATCAGCTACGAAATTCAGTGTCTGGTTTGTTAGTCAGTCTTTAATGATTTATGGAAGTAAAAGGCAATGTAATCCCATTTTATACGTTAGAGAATTGATGGTGCGCTGATTTTATTGAAGTATTTACTACTTCACTTAAGTATCATAACATCACTATCAACAAGCTAGGAAAAGCCGATTTTAACTAGTTTTGATAAATAAATAAATTAGAGTAAGATCCCAGAGCGATAAGACACAACTTATTTTCTAAAGCATAGAACCTTCGGTTCTAAGTAGTCTCTGGTGTGCTTTTTAATACCTGTACGCTTATGGAGTTGGCTCGGTGACACCTGCGCAGGTACCAGGTGAGAAAGGTAACTAAAAATCAGAGTTACTTAAGTTAAATTTTAATGACTGATTTTTATATATATTTTGTAGAATATTACTCTGAAGTAATATCAAAAAAGTCAGACGCTTTCCATGGGCCAGAACTTTTGTCAGACGCCTTAAAGCTCTACAAAAAATAAATGAACTTAATTTATTTTTAAATGTCTGATTTTTATATATGTTATTCAAATAAATATTACAAAGCTATATTTAATCAGTCAGACAAATTGTAATGACCAAACATCCCCTAAACACAAAAATTACTCAACTATGAGCGCGAGAGCACTATACATGCAAAGTTTAAAGAAAAAACTTTTTAACCGGATTAAAGTTATGTATTATTATAAATTTACTATTATTTAACATAATTTTAAATTTATCCGACGTTTCGCGTGCTTTACAGCGTGCGTGGTCGTGGCAAAAAACACCCCAATTTCAATAGAGAAGACGGCCTAAAATTGTCAAACACCTGGGATCCATAATAACCAAATTAAAATCTCAAGAAAAACAATCCGCGAAAATAGAGGACACCGTGAGCCATTTTTGCCAAAACCCTCCATCTTTTAGTCGATACCAACTCCGGGGAAATAAATACATATAATGCAACTTTCTCTACAGCTTTGATACTTTTTGACATCCAACACCTTTTGTCTTCAGTCACCACTCACCGTGACCACACACGCTGTAAAGCACGCGAAACGTCGGATAAATTTAAAATTATGTTAAATAATAGTAAATTTATAATAATACATAACTTTAATCCGGTTAAAAAGTTTTTTCTTTAAACTTTGCATGTATAGTGATCTCACGCTCATACTCATAGTTGAGTAATTTTTGTGTTTAGGGGATGTTTGGTCATTACAATTTGTCTGACTGATTAAATATAACTTTGTAATATTTATTTGAATAACATATATAAAAATCAGACATTTAAAAATAAATTAAGATCATTTATTTTTTGTAGAGCTTTAAAGCGTCTGACAAAAGTTCTGGCCCATGGAAAGCGTCTGACTTTTTTGATATCACTTCAGAGTAATATTCTACAAAATATATATAAAAATCAGTCATTAAAATTTAACTTAAGTAACTCTGATTTTTAGTTACCTTTCTCACCTGGTACCTGCGCAGGTGTCACCGAGCCAACTCCACAAGCGTACAGGTATTAAAAAGTACACGAGGGACTACTTAGAACCGAAAGTTGTATGCTTTAGAAAATAAGTTGTGTCTTATCGCTCTGGGATCTTGGACTAAATGTCAGTATTCCGATAAAATGAATTTTCATTGTTGCCCTTTGACGACTTTCATTAAAATAAGATCAATTAATACGAGTTTCAACCGTGACGATAAAAGTGTGTGATATTTTAGCGGAATTATCATCTATTTATTATTGAACGTTGAATTTGTTCAATATGAAAAATCCGTATTGGGGGCTTTTTATGACAACTTCGGTACTAGGTGGAATTCATTGTTTTGCGAGGAATCGAACGTGAGGCGGCGGGCTAGGATGGCGGCCCGCCGCCTTGTGCTCAACGGGCTGACCGCCGAGGTGGCCGCGGGCCGACCGCCCGAAGCCGCCGGTCCTCCTTCGCCCGAGTTCTACCACGAGTTGGAACTGTACCGCCAATTGCTGGCGCTGCCGGTGCGACGGTGCCGCACGCCAGATCCGCCGCCGCCGCCGCCCGTTCCACGCTGCGCTTCCGCGGGTCCCCCTGACTCAGAAAGCGCTCCAGTTCGCTCAACGGCCGAGTCGGCGCCTTCCGATCGCTTTTCGGCTACCTCAAAACCGGTGCGGGTGAGTATTTCCTTAATAAAATTAATATCAGTAAGTAATAAGTATGTCTCGTTTAAGTTTCCTCTTTCATTTATTGTTAACACATCGAATAATTTTGTTCCAGTAACCAGTTATCGTTTAGAACTTTTTAAAAATAATTTAAATGAAAAACTGCCTGGTTTGCCTTATCACAATAACCCTGACCAAGCTTACTCTTCATTATTTAACATGATTAATTCTCAGTTTAAGAAGGTTTTTACATCTAGATCAGTTTCTGTTAGTGATCGAGTTTTGTTTAGTGACTGGGCAACACCAGGTATTTTTAAAAGCAGAATAAGATTATTTGAATTATATAATGAAAGGAACCATGATCATAGTGAAAGGTTTAGGGAGTATGTTAAAAATTACTCTAAGACTTTTAAGAGAGCCTGCGCTGCCGCAAAATCTTTACACATTAAAAACAAAATACGATCTTCTGCAAACAAAATTAAAACTACTTGGAATATTATTAATTCTGAAATAGGAAGAACCACAGTTAAGAATAATGATTTTCATCTTAAAATTAATGATATAGATGTTAGGGCGGATTTGGAGGTGGCAACCGAGTTTGAATCTTTTTTCACTAATATTCCTGTATTAACAACTCAAACTTTGTTGTCGTCTTCCGGCTCCGCATACAACATACTTAAAGACTGTGTCGCAGAATGTGGGACAAGTTTTGAATTTACAGTTGTTAGTGCTAAGGACATTCTAGATGCATTTAAAGATTTGGAAGTAAAAAGTCCACCGATCTTTGGGGGTTGTCAGTTCAAATAATATCCTCAATAATTGAATGTATTTCCCCATTTCTGGCAATTGTGTTCAACTCTTGTGTCGCATCTGGTGTGTTTCCGGACTTAATGAAGTTAAGCAAGGTGATTCCACTCTTCAAATCTGGTAGTACAACCGATCCTACGAATTTTCGCCCTATCTCAATTTTGCCTACACTGAGCAAAATTTTTGAGAAAATAATTTTAAAGCAAATGCTAAAGCATTTTAACAGACAGAATCTTTTTCACTCCAAACAATTTGGATTTACTAAGGGTCGGTCTACTGCAGATGCAGGTGTGGAACTACTCAAAAATGTATTCGAGGCTTGGGAGAATTCACAGGATGCTTTAGGCATATTCTGTGACTTGTCCAAAGCTTTTGACTGTGTTTGCCATGACACACTTATCAAGAAACTACACCACTATGGCATTAGAAATAAGGCTCTTAGACTTCTCAGTTCATATTTAGACAATAGAATACAAAGTGTAGATATTAATGGCAAAAAATCAAAAGGATCTGTGGTAACTATGGGTGTTCCGCAGGGTTCAATTCTAGGTCCTTTCTTATTCCTTATCTATATCAATGATTTACCTTTTTGTGTAAGGGATGATCACAAAATCCTATTATTTGCGGATGACACTTCGCTTGTTTTTAAAGTTAAGCGTCAACTTGAAAATTTTGACCAAGTTAATTTGGCACTATCTAAGGTTGTCCATTGGTTTAATGTTAATAATCTGCTTTTGAACTCAAGTAAAACTAAATTAATAAAATTTTCTACGCCTAATGTGAGACAGTTAAGCACCAATGTACAACTGAATGGAGTAGAGTTGGAACCTGTTGAGTCAACTGTTTTTCTTGGCATTACTGTTGACGCTAAACTACAGTGGGGCCCACACATTAACAAATTGTCTGGAAGGCTCAGTTCAGCTGCTTATGCTGTAAGGAAAATTAGACAAATTACTGATGTGGATACAGCCAGAATTGTTTATTTCAGTTATTTTCATAGCTTGATGACGTACGGCATTCTCCTTTGGGGAAACTGTGCGGATATTAATACAATCTTCTTATTACAAAAAAAGAGCTGTCCGCGCTATATATAACTTAGGTCCTAGAGTTTCTCTCCGAGAGAAATTCAAAGAGATAAACATTCTGACTGTAACTTCACAATATATTTTTGAAAATTTACTTTATGTTCACAAAAACGAACCGGATTTTGTCAAATTGTCTGATCTTCACTCCCGAAATACTAGGAACAAAAATAATTTAACAGTTCATGCTACTCGCCTTCATAGAATAAGCAACTCGTTCATGGGTCAATGTATACGCTTTTACAATAAACTTCCTATGGATGTTCGTAAACTTCCCCTTAAGAAATTTAAATTTTTTATTAAATCAAAATTATTAACTAAAGGATATTACAGGATATCCGATTATTTAAATGATAGAAACGCCTGGGATTGAGCTGCTCGCTTATACAGCTATCGCTTGTGGTTTTTTTAAGCTGTCTTTCACTTCTTTTTTTCTTTTTTTTGCATGTTGTACATATTTACAATCTGACATGTCTTGTGCTTTTGCATATGCATTTTATTTTATTCTATTGACATGTTTGTGCTTAGTGCATATTCATTTTTTTACATTTTTTTTCTCTACATTACTGACATGTTTTGTGCTTAGTGCATATTCATTTTTTCTTTTTCTACAATACTGACATGTTTTGTGCTTTTGCATACAATATTTTACACTTTGACATGCCAAGTGAATAATGTTTATATTACGATTATATTTTTCAATTTAATTATTTTTCCTTGCTTTAAGGTACTCCTTAAATATACATTTTGTATCCATTGTAAGTGTAAACATTATGCGGGTATATCATAAACTCTTTTGCTTGATTTATAATTTGATACATTTTAGTCTATAGTTATTTTGGGCTGGCGATCTGAGTGAGTTGTTGCCCCACATATCTTTATGGTGCCTCTGGCGGTATTGTTGTGTACCGGGTTGTGCAGCTCCCTCAAAAATGGTTGAGCTGCATGAGCTATTCGGGGCATGCTAGCCGTCTGCTGGCGCAGGCTTGCTCAGATCGATCTGGTTCTTTCTTCCAAAGACCAGTCCAGTAAATTACTCTGCATTTGTTTACACCAACTTATTAATTTATTATTGTATTATCTGGACTATAAAAGAGACTAAGACCCCCGAGTTTGTTTCGACATTTCTTCTCAGGGCAGTCAGTTAGGAAATGTCGACTTCATCTAGTTTAGGAAGACATTGTAAAAGTGATTTATATAGTCCTACTTGCAAGAATAAACTATTTCATTTCAAACTATTTTATTTCATTTCATTTCATTATGCGGTTTTGAGATTACCAATGCGATAGAATCGCTTGCGTCGGCGACAGACGCCGATGCCACCGGAAATTACTTCTGGACATATCTTCCGTCTCCTGCACCCATTTTGCGTAAATTTACTATCACACATAATACAATTTAAAAAATCCATTTACTTTTAATTAAACTTTACCTTACTACAAAATCCTATTTGAATACAAATTAATTTTATTATTAATATCTATATCGTCTACTAGAATTGAGAGAATTTTCCGTTTACATGCTGAATACAAAAAGACTAATTCTGTAATATCCAGAAATCAGAATACACAATTAGCTTAGGTACTTAAAGTGGTGGTAAAGTTTATGTATCTTTGTGTATTATGTGACTGTGATACTTAACTAGAAGCGGAATAATTATAATTTTCGACGTTTAACTTTCTTAATACAATGTGTTCAGATCTAATTTATATTAAAGTTTACGTTTAAGATCGTAGCTACACGAGTAACGGGGCCTTAGTCCGAGAAATAGTGTCTAAACTTAACCTGCACTATCAGGCTAGATGGACGGACTACGGTAAGGCTAATAGTAATGAGAAAGAACCAATTCTCATTACGCTCTCAAAATACCTCTTAGAAGAAGCGAGCTTACAACTCACTTTCAACTATAGCCGTAAGATGGAAACAGCGACATCGCTAGGTACAAGTAAACCTAGATCAAAAACGAATGAGCGCGTTTACTCAACACAGAAGAAACTCAGATGCCTATGCTGTAACGGCAATCATCATGCAACTCATTGTGAAGAGTTTTTGAAAATGAATCTTAATCAACGATGGGATAGATTGAGAGAAACGAAGGCATGTTTTTTGTGCCTAGAAGAATATATATATCACCGACGATCACAGTGCAGGAAAAAGCGATGTGGTATTGATGGGTGTGAAAGAGCGCACCATAGGTTGTTGCATTGGGTAGTACACAAGCCACAACAACAACCATTGTTGGTGCAACCATCAACATCTAACTCAGAGGCTGAAGTTGTTATGTCGACCTCTGTGACTGCAAAGGATGAATGTCAAGCCGTCCTACTTAAAGTATGTCCCGTAACTGTGAGAGGCCGAGATGGAAAGATCGTAAAAACTCATGCCCTACTGGACGAAGGTTCGACTATTACAATTATCGCGGAAAAGTTAGCCCACGAATTAGGTGTGAGCGGGCCAAGCAAGCCGCTGAAAATTCAAGGAGTTAGTTCTCAAACGAAAGATTTTGAGAGCCAACACGTCAAAATTGACATCAGTCGCTACGACGGAGGGGCTAATTACACTTTGAAAGCGCGAACGATGCGTGATTTCGATATTGGTAGCCAAAGAATTAGCGCGGATAATTTGCGCTACAAACATTTGGTTAAGTTACCACTCCAACAAATGATTGGCGAAGCTAAACCACAATTGTTAATTGGAGCTGACAATTGGCATCTCATCGTTTCCAGAAAAGTATACAGTGGGAAGAAAAATGAACCGGCTGCATCTTTAACCCGATTAGGCTGGATTTTACATGGTACAGCACCTATACGATGTTTAATGGAAGACAACGAACGTGTTATGCACTGCATAAAAAAGGCGGCAGAAAGCGACGTTTACAAAGAAACAATAGATGAGCGTCTAGAGGCGATATTAAAACAAAGTTTTGCAATAGATGTCTTGGGTATAAATAATAAAAAAAAGGTTAACAAGTGCCGACGCACGTGCAGTTCAATTGTTCAATACAACAATAGAGAAACGGGAAAGGCGTTACTACCTGGGGTTGCCGTGGAAGACTGATAACACGAAATTCCCAGAAAGCTATAATATGGCATTTAATCGGCTTAAAAGCATTGAACGGAAAATGGATGAGTCGTATGAGTTTAAAAAGTCGGTGTCTCAGTTAG